GCTGCCTGCCCCGGCTGTAGGCCGAGGGTTAGAGCCGTTCCCTTCCCCGGACCGGGGAGAAGCAGGAAGAAACTCCCCTCAATAAAGTGTACTCACCCCACAGCTCCGTGTGCTCGGCGGGTTTGTATCCCCTCGGCCGCCTCCGAAAGCTGCTGCGAGCGGGCACCGCTCCACAGCTTTGCCTCCCACACGGGAGCACAGTTCCTGCGAGAATCTTTCATTACTTCATCGTAGGAACAACTTTTTAGACTATTCCTTTGTTAGCTTAGTGACCAAACACAGTGCAAGTTTTTGCTCCGAGCAAAACTTTGCAAGCTTGGTAGATGGTGTCTTAAACATCCTAACAGAAAATACCATGCAGAGGCACAGAGCTGCGGCAGCCCAGAGCTCGGACACCGCGCACCAGCGATGCTGTGGGATGCAGGTGAAGCCGCAGCCAGCAGCGAGCTCTGCCGCTCCCCCCACCCCACGGTGGTGCCCAGCTTGATCCATTTACATCTCAGACGATCCTGGCGGTGCCCAAATCAATGAATGCATTTACATCTAAGATGGCTCCAGCCATTCGAACACTAACTGCTCCCTGTCCCGAGACAAAGCAATGAGAAACTGCCCCAAACCCTTTCCCCAGCACTCGTTTTTTGCTCCTCGCTTTCTGAAGGAAATCAGGAATTGCCATTTCTGTTCTCCTTATGCCAAGATCGCCCACACAAACCAGTGCACACAGGGTGGGTTTTGCCCTTTAAACTTTCTCTTTCAGAAAATTATTTGCAGGCCCGTTTGCCATATGTCCAGGCAGATGCTGAGCAGTGCAACACTTGTGAAAGCTGAAGAGCTTTATTATTTCACTGGCTTGGCTCTTTTCCTGCCTTTTGCAACCAGTGGATTCCTAAGGCAAGAGTACAATTTTTTGTAGGTATAAGTAGTCACCCAAGGAACTGTTGGTATTACACCAACGAGGGTGTCATGGGCGATAAGCCAGAAGCACTGGTAAGGGTCTAAACCCACGACCTTTGCCAGCCCTGCTCTCTCCAGATACGCCCATGAGCCTGTACCACAGTGATCATTCATTGCTGGTCAGCAGATCCCTGGGGCAGCCAGCAAGGAAGGGAAGAGATGTCTCTGTTCTAGGCATGGAGTGGACAGAGAGGGAAGGATGCCCGTGCAGTGGAGGTGTGCACTGAGGGCACAGGGGTGTCCCAGCCCCAATGGCAGCCACTGAACAACACACCCACTGCTCTATAGAGCTAGAAGCTTTCCCCTGCCTTTCACTGAACACTCTCAACAGCCACACCTGAAACTCCTGGCAGGGCAAAGGTGCAAAGGGCCAGCCTAAAGTCCAAAGCAACGCTCTCCAGTAGGTTAATGTTTGCTAAATCACAGGAAGTGCAAAGAAAAGGTCCAACAGATACCAGCAAACTTATCCAAGATAAGAACCAGTTCAAAACTGCCATCACTCCCAGCCTGGTTTGGAACCTACTGACGTGTCCACCTCACAGCCTGAGCCTCAGAGTTTGTCTCACCCCTGCCTCTACCTTTGCAGAGGAATGGGTCTGCTCCTGAAGATCTTCATCCCCTTGCTGGGAGTGGTGCTGGCCTTGTATTTTTATACAGCGCCTGAGAATTTCAATGAAGGTAAGTCCTTGGGCAGAACATGCTTGAAACCCACAGCCAGGGAGGCTGCTGCCAGGGGCAGCGTGTGTGCACGCAGAAGAGCATGAGCCATTTGATGGGCCTTACAAAGCAGAGCTGGAAAAGCCAAAGCATGGGGGGTTGGGGGGCTTGGGGGGAGCACAGGGGTCCGAGCACCCTGTGCCACACGAATTTCAATGAAGGTAAGTCCTTGGGCAGAACATGCTTGAAACCCACAGCCAGGGAGGCTGCTGCCAGGGGCAGCGTGTGTGCACGCAGAAGAGCATGAGCCATTTGATGGGCCTTACAAAGCAGAGCTGGAAAAGCCAAAGCATGGGGGGTTGGGGGGCTTGGGGGGAGCACAGGGGTCCGAGCACCCTGTGCCACACGGGAAAGCTCGTGGGATTACGCTGGGTCTGCTGGGCGGGGGCAGAGGTGCCGCGGTGCCCGCGATGGCGTGGGCAGTGCCAGCTCCAAGTCCCACGCCCTCCTCTCCAGAGATGCTCCGGGGGAAGCGGGTGATCGTGACGGGAGCCAGCAGCGGCATCGGGGAGCAGATGGCTTATCACCTGGCACGCATGGAAGCCCACCTCCTGCTCACGGCACGGACAGAGGCCAAGCTGCAGAAAGTAAACGGCAAGCAGAGCGTGCTGGGCTAGCAAAGCACCTTCACAACTCAGAACCATGCAGGCGGGCAGGACACAGCTATTCACCCCGGCCTGGGCACACGGGGTGCCAGATACCCTACAGACCCACCCCAGCACTTCCCCACCAGGAGCCTGTTCCAAAACACACACACCTCCCTCACCCCCCAACAAACCTTGTTTTCAAGGCTGGCAGCACGGCCTTTCTGTCTCTGCAGCTTTCAGCTGCAAATTCTCCTCTCCACCACCAAGGGCAACACCATTCTGCCCAACTCTTGGTCTGGTCAACCCTTGCCCTTTCTCAAGTCTGAACTGTTTTTGCATCCTGTATTACAACAGAATCAAAATTAAGCAGTCATATTTCTGTTTATAAATACTAAATATTTGGCTCAGATGTGCCACTGTTCAGCTTTGCAACCAGCAACAGTTCTCCAAACAGCACATCTCCTCTTGTGAAGGGAGGAGAGTTCCCAGGGGGACAGGAGGATGTGCTGCATCCACCCTAAGGCAGCAACAGCCTGTGTGGGAGGGGGATCTGTGGGGGGAGCCATCAGCAGCACTGTCCTCGCTGTCACCCCAGGTCGTGGAGCGGTGCCTGGAGCTGGGCGCCGCGTCCGCCCGCTACGTCAGCGGCTCCATGGAGGACACCACGTTCCCTGAGGTGGTGGTGAAGGAGGCCGAGAACACCTGGGGTAGGTGGTGGGGAGCTGCCCCCCCTCACTCCCCAACATGTCCTCTGCTAAATTTTGGGGCCATCCCAGCCACCAAGAAGCTGCTTTATTTTGAGACACCAGCTGCCAATAACAAACACTCTCTGCTTCCAGGGGGCCTCGATATGCTCATCCTAAATCACATCGGTTACAGCTACTTCAACTACTTCAACGGGGACGTTGGGCACGTACGAAAGCTCCTGGAGGTCAACTTCCTCAGCTATGTGGCAATGACCACGTCTGCCCTGCCCATGCTGAAGGAGAGCGAGGGCAGCATCGTGGTGGTTTCATCCATGGCAGGTGAGCACACATGGGGCCAGGTTCTTCCTCCGTGTCCCTTCCTCTGCCTGCAAAGGACCCCTGCTGCAGCAGTCCTTCAAAAGGGAATAAAGACCATAAGGCAGAGAGACACTCTCCCTGCTGGAGTCTCCTTCACACATCTCAGTCGATGGCACAACACCACAGGTTATGTGCAGGGCTGCATCTCAGGCGTGCATTTGCTGTACATGAATACAAGAACAGTATCACCCACAGCTGAAGGAACTTCATGCCACTGTATGCCATATGCTACATTTTAAACATTCCTGCATTTATTTATTTCTTGCCAGCATCCAAAACAGATTACTCAGTCATCCTAAATCACACTGTTGTAGCTATTTGAAGGACAAGAGGAAGGGAGAGCCATGCAGCCTGATGTCTGCTCATTACATGAGCCCTGACGTTGTCTCTGCTCCAGGTAAAGCTGGCACCCCACTTGCTGCCCCCTATTCTGCAACCAAGTTCGCCTTAGATGGGTTCTTCAGCTCCCTGCGGCAAGAATTCATTCTGGACAAGGTCAACGTCTCTATCACACTCTGCATCCTGGGCTACATCAACACAGGTAAGCTCAGCACCCCTGGGGGCTCACGACTCGGTGAAGTTCCAGACTGAGCTGAGCCCAGCCCACCACCAGCCCTCTGGCCCCAGGCTGCTTCACCACCACCGCTGGACTCTGCCTGCGGTGGAAACCAGGCTACAGCTCTTTAAGAAGTGTGGCCCGAGACCTTTGACTCTGGTCTCCCTGCAGTAAGCCCAAGGGAGGTGGGGATTCCATCCTATAGTCACTCAAGAGGTGGGAAGGAACAGGATGACTACCGCTGTCACTTATTTTAACCATTCCAAGCCTTGTTCAGGAGCTCTGATCCAGAGTCTGTCGGTTGGTTAGCGGAAGGTACAGACAGGCTGAGTCCCTCCAGCCCTGCCCCCTCCCTCCCCGCAGAGAACGCCGTGAGGGCTGTCTCACACGTCATCCGGGGGGCGCCGGCGCCGGCGGAGGAGTGTGCGCTGGAGATCGTGCGGAGCGGGGCCCTGCG